TTCAATGGAAGATACAGATAATGGGACATGTCTATATCTAAAAAGATCAATATCACGCAAGAATCAATATCATGTAAACAATACTTTTCCCCATTACAGTGAGTTGGGCAGCCATATGCAGCATTTAAATAAACTTTTAATATTTTCATATTAGTATAATTGTTTTTATTGCTACCTTTGGGGGAAAGAGAATGAAAATCCAACTCCTCAGAAACTTTCTACACTTAGATAATCTATGTGTTTTTTTTTAATTGACTGAGATTACTCAGCACTCCTGCAAAGCTAAATTGCACAGTGACTCAGCTGGAAGATATTGCAGAAGTAGAATTTTTTAAAGGCCCAAAACAACTGGATATATCATTGCCAATGCAAGATACTTTAAGTGTAGCTAGACATGCTTTCAGACCATGATACCTTAACAATATTCAGATGAAACGCCTAAGTGTCTTCATGAAATGTGTTCACTAAGCATTGTATTTTAATTGCCCATGCTTTTCTATCTACAAGCATAGCATGAAAATGAACAAGTAAATGTCATATGAAAGCAGCATGCAACAGCAACTACTCCAATGTAAAGAATGATAAACTCCAGAAAGCATACCAGTCTCACAAAGTGATTAAAAAAACACTGAGGCATCTGTAATATGTAAAACAATAATCAAACTTAGGACAGCATTACAATTCATTGTCAATGTAGTAGGAAACACCAAACCAGAAAGGCAATGACTTTCCTTGAATAAGAAGCAGAAATGGTAACATAGCTAAATGTATGCAATGGTTTACTTAAAATGTAATAATCCAAGGTATATTGTCATGAGAATAAGTCTCATGGTTCAAGCATTTGGTCTTCCCTTTGTTAGAGATGAGTTGAGATGAAGATTTCTAAGTTTATTTTTCAATAAAGTGTAACTTCTTTGTTATGGCTTGATGTTGATTTATTTCCATTTTGATTAGTTATGTAAGGAGCTAGAGATACATGTAGGTGTCAGTTCCTAAGAAATACAAAGACATGGGCCTAAAAATTTCAAAAGATGTGGTTTTATGCATCTGATGACACTTTAGTTAAAGTGGGAACTTTAACTAAAGATACTTAAAAGATACTTGGTGTCTTTATGGAGGTGAAAAATTACTGTATTTTAAAATGGCAGCTTTAACATTATCTCAGAAATCTCCGAGGGCAGAAAAATTAGAGCTAAAAACTTCTGGGATCCCATGGACTGCCCACTAAAATTATATGATGGTTTATTTCTTATCTATTAGCATAAGCATAATTTCAATGCAAGAACAAACTACCAGAAACAAACTGCATATACAATAGCTACACTTTTTATATTTGTCAAATTAATGAGTTTCTGATTAAATCTTCTATTACGATATATGGATACTTATATTTTATATACAAATCTGGTTCATATTGGATAATTTCTAAGTTTAGCTTTTCAATTAAATTAAAATTCTTGTTACAGAAAACAATTCCCACAAAAAAGTAGAATGGTTAAGTGGAAAGCAATTAAAATGGCAATGAATCTACCCTTCCTTCCTTCCTTCCTTCCTTCCTTCCTTCCTTCCTTCCTTCCTTCCTCTATTTATCAAATTGATACAGCTACCCATCTCACCAAAGGTGACTCTGGACAACTAACAAAAATCAATAAGAATAAATAAAAACAAAAAATGTATCTAAGGAGCCATCTAACCCTGATGGGATTAGCCCAACTCACTCATTTCATTCCAGCAAAAAAGGCCTACTTTGGATTCCATCTGCCAAAGAATTCTAACTGGCAGGATCCAGGAAAAGAGCCTTTTCTACTGTGTGGGACCTCACTAACTTTTCCATTGTTGATGAGGTCCACCCCACAGGAATAGCCTGAAAACATGGCTCTGCCACCTGCCTGGAGCCGCAACAGTGGCCAGCCATATTGGGATGGCTGATGGGATAGAGAAAATACCCACCTGCAGATTGCCATCATCTTGGTTTTTAACTTTTCTGCAGGATCTAACTGGATCAGTCATTGGAATGATTGTCACTTCCAAGTTTTTAGACTTGTGCCCATCCTCGAGTAATTTCTCTCTACCAGAATGTATGCTTTGGGCTATTCTATGTGTAGTATTTATGTGATGCCTAATTGCATGTGGCTTTAATTGGAAGATTAAACCTCTGGTCCCAGTGACTGACCCAGATTGGTTCCTGCAATGTTATCCTGGGACACATATATTTGCCTTCGTTTGTTTAACTTTTTTATTTAACTGCCCTCATTTTAATTGTCCTGTATTATCTTTTTTTACTTTTGATTATATTGTAAGCCATTCTGGTTCACCATATCAGTGAGATGAGAACCATAAAATATTTAATAAATAGAGTATTATTAACCTTATTAATAAATATCATTAAAGCAGAAATACAATTCACAGGACAGGGAGGAAAAACAATGGAGTGTTTCAACAATGGAGTGTGTCAATTTAGCAGGTCCTCGCTCCCTGGAAGCCCCAGTCCTGACAACATCGCCAAGACTTGAGGCCATTTTGGAATACCAAAGGAATGTAACTAGTCTAATTTCAGAGGGAAGAATTTCTATAACAGTGCTGCAACAGAGAAGGCATGTCTCCTGGGACTCTTCAAGTGAAGGTCCCTCGCCAATGGTATCTGAAACATGCCTACTCTACCAGATCTTGCGGAACAGACTGATATTAACTCAAGAGATAGGTATTTCTTCCATAGTGTATGAATATAGATAAAAGCTTTGAGTTTAAATACTAAAACAAATCTATTGTTTTACTCTTCTGAATTTATAAAGCTTGAATATAATGCATTAAAAGTTTAGAATGCAACCGCATGTCTAGGTTACTATGCTAATCACATCCTTCTTGGGATTTAGTGATTAAAAAGATTTGTTTATCGGAAGAAGGGAACTATGATATGCAATATGTGAAGGTGGAGATGATAATTGTTATGTAAGTGCTGCAATGAAGATTGGAAATAGCTTTAAATATCCAATTTCTTTTTGTTTTTCTTCACTTATTCTTTCTCCTTTATATAATCTTCCTCTTTCTATTTTTTCTGTATTTTTTCAATCTGGTATCTTTTTTTATAGTTCTTAAACTTAGTCATTGCCCATCTCCTTACAGACACTTTGAAATGTTACTCTTAAACATGTACTTTCAGTAGTTTTATTTTGTTATTTCTGTCTTATTTTGATGAGGGTGGGATAGACAAATAAACAAAACATATGGTACATTTTTGTTGGTTCCTTTCCACATTACATTCTGTGAGACAGAACGTAAGTACAGAAATTTGCTTTATAGTTATATTATTTGTCCATCTAATTTGGTATTATGGTATATACTGGTATTATGCCAGTATATTGACTGGCAGCAGCTCTCCAAAATGTCCTAGGAATGCAGAAAACAGGATTATTTGTAAACATAGTATGAATTCTACAATCAAAGTCAGAAAGTATGTTCTTCCACCCACTAACAACTGAACTAGTAAATATAACTTTAATAAGCACACTATTGTAGTTCGCTAATGGAACAAAGTCTACATTTCCATAGTTACAGTGACATTTATTTTTTAGAAACTAAATGGTTTAATAGAATATGACAATCCGTCCAACATGGCAAGTTCAAAGCTACTTAAGGCACCCAATTCTCTAGAGCCATGATGGCAAACCTTTGGCACGCGTGCCCGAAGTGGCACACGGAGCCATGTCACCTGGCATGCCAGCCATCACGCCAGCCCAGCTCCACCACGCATGTGGAAAACCTGCCAGGCACATGCATGGGTGGCAGGGTGCATATGCGGACAGTGCTTACATTGCATTTTGGGGGTTCACGCACGCGCACCCCCACCCCGTGCCATGTTTTGGGCCTGGAAGGCCTCCTGCACCAACCGGGAAGTCAAAACAAAGCGCGGGGGGCCCTGGGGCGCATGCATGGGGAGGCAGGGGGCATGTGCAGGGGGGTGCATGCGTGGGGATGCACGTGCATGTGCAGGGGTGGGTTGCATGCGTGAGGGCATTTGGGAAGTCTGGGCATGCATGCATTTGCATGCGCACTTGCACACTTTGGGCACTTGGCACCAAAAAGGTTAACCATCACTGCTCTAGAACATGTACTATGTACTTTATATTAGTTTACTATGATAAACACTCAGAAGTAAATACAATTTAGAATTTACAATAGAATTCCAAGATTAATCTTTTTCCCCCTTTTATATACTGTATATTTTTCATTTAACTTGTTCATTAACTCACAGCAAAGTGCATATTCCCTTGTCAACCGAAATTTCTCATGAAAGCATATTCGATTTAAGGTTTCACTATAGTATGAGATTTAAGAACAATCAAATTAAATTAAAGGAATCATCTGGATAGATCAAAAGGACAACTGATTCTCAAAATGTAGTAGATTTACAAGAGATATCAGTGTTGATCTCATTTTATAAAGTTGTAATAAATTAGTTTTAATTTGAGAACTAATAGGAATATAACACTTGTTTTGCTCATCTGGAAAAAGCAAGAGAAAAAGAGTTACAAAATATTTGGGAAATTCAAACGCTGATACAGCGGCAATATTTAACGTACTCATACCTAGACTTTAATATTCCACATTCATGAATGTATCTATTTAAAATTTTAAATATAATGACCAAGACTATATCTTGGTATCCTAAAAAAAGTTCTAAATAACTGAGCATGTTTACAAATTTACTTCACTACACTGCAATATGGAAATGTGGGGAAGAAAATCAAAGAATACAGCAAACTATTGGACCATTTTTCAAAAGGGAGATATTTCACAAATTCCTTTGTGAACTATCCTGGGATAGTTTCCTGCACGAAATTACTGCTGACACAATCCATTGTTATTTCAGAAACTTCTAGCCAAAGAACTTACTGAGAATCAACCTAATCTAATTTATAAATCCTTGTATAGGTTGGGGCGAGAGCACCAACAGAATGTAATGACAATTTCAATTTAAAGTTATAGCAGAAAATACTTACTAATTTGTTTTCCTGCATGTATATTCTCCGTAACTTCAAGCATCCTTTAGCTATAATGGTCATTCCTTCATCTGAGATCTTGTAACACTGCCCAAAGTGAATGTCTTTCAATTCTCTGCATTCTGAGCCCAACTATAAATGAAGTTAAAATCTGCATTAACAACATACTTGAAACCATTTGTATTCTACTTATTACCATAGAACTACCAAAACAATTTATAAGGATAGGAAAACATCCAGCAAGAAAAAGAATTCCATTGAAAATATAATCTATTATTGTCCATAGCAGTAAGCTGCTCAACCAGTACAATTTCAGTGTTTTAGGATTTAGTAGGTTAAATTTCAAAAGCCTATTTATAGATGCATCCAGAACTGAATGCAGTTACCTTTCATAAGGTAGAGATATGTGTCATCAGTGAGTTAAATAATAGCATTAAACCAACCACGCAGTGAAATGAAAGTTGGGAATATGGAAGGCATATAAGAAGTATAACATGTAGCTTATTGCAAACCTAAATTTAATGAACACTGCAGAGCTCAAATGCATTTTCTATTCAGAAAAAGCTGTACATGTACATAGACAACTTTTTAAAATGTACTTCTATTATAATACGATGCATTACCTTGGGTGCTATTAGGAAAAGGGAAATTTGAAATGTAAATTTTGTTTTCATACTAAGAGTCATTTTATTCACTTCACTCAAAATAATTCCCATTTTACACTGGCAAAATGGTAGCAAATCACAAAACAAAGCTAAAGCTATTCAACTTGTATCTTGTCGCTGTCTTCTCCCAAAAGAGAGCTATAAAGAGCAGGATGAAATAGCAGTTTGAAGACTGACTTTGAAAGAAACATGGTCAGAGAATACTCATTTTATGTGAATGAGATTAAATTTCCAAATTCAATGCCTCTTGCATGATGGGAAGGAAAACACTGATGGTCTGCTCAAATATGTTACTTTTCAGAAACCATGGAGACCAGTGAAGTGTTAAAGTGCCATATGACTAGAACTGGACAAATGTTGTCATTATCTTCAAAAGCATGTTTGGGCAGAATTACAGATCAACCAATGTGAGTTAAATAAATACTTGAAATATTCTACTGCAAATTTATTGATGTATAAATACTAGAAATCAGTATGGAATTGACAAGACCAAGTGTTAACAACTAATCTTATCTCATTTGATTATTTATTTGTACCCTCATTATTTTTACAAATAACTTAAGGCATTAAACATATCCAACACAGCTTCCTCCTCCCACAATATAACCATGATAAGATTTTTAAAAATGGGATGAAACTGCTATTTAATAAGATCTTCATTATTATCCTCATCATTCTAGCCATTGTCTATCCATTGCAGAGTAAAAGCTTCTTCCGCATGTTTCCAACAAATACTTTCTTTTACCAATTGGGCCTGCAATATTGCTGATGTCATTGATCCAACTTGTTTTAGGTCTATTTTGTGGATGCTTTTTATCAAGTGGAATCCATTCTATAACTGCCTTAGTCCACCTGCCATCAGTTCTTCTTGCTATGTGACCAGGCCATTTCCATTTCAATTCTTTTATTCTCTTGATGATATCGGACACTTTTCTTTGTTCTCTAATCCATGTGCAGGTCTTTCTATCTTGTCTTGTGATGCCAAGCATGTCTCTTTCCATGGCTATTTGCACCACTCATGCCTCTTATATTGATTTGAATTTAAGAGATACAAATGCAAAACTATGCTCTTAAGAATGAAAATGGTGGCAGAGTGATTAGAATGCAGTATTGCAGGCTAATTCTGCCCACAGGCTAGAGTTCAATCCTGACAGGCTCAAGGTTGACTCAGACTTCCATCCTTCCGAGATGGGTAAAATGAGGACCCAGATTGTTGGGGGCAATATGACAAAACCATCCAGATATTGTTGTAAAGCATATTGGGCAGTATATAAGTTGAAGTGCTATTGTTAGAGCTATTGCTAAAATCAAAGGCACAGATATATCATGGAAAGTACTGGCATGTTTGTGGATATCTTGGAATTATAACTGATTAGTAATTGGAGGAATTAAGATGTGATATGGCAGCAAAAAGAATAAATGCAATTTTAAGGCTGCATTAATGTAAGTATAATTTTCAAACCCTAGGATTTTATCCTTCCACTCCATTATGCAGAATCTCTACCAGGTTCTGGGCATTTATTTTAATTAATTTAAATTAAAATAATGTCTAACTTTCTCAATAGTTAATTATAATTTATGTAAATAAAATCTTGAAGAATGATTCTGCCAAAAAAACTCTAATTTGCTTATATATTTGTTTAAAAACAGTAGAAAGTTATAAAAATTAAAATATTATATAAAATATAAATTAATTACCAAATTAAATTTATCTTGAAAACATCTGACTTACATACCTGAATAATTCAATCCATTTGTCTAGATTTGGGTCATTTATCTTGTAATTGGAAATACATTTGAACTTAGCAATTGAAAAAGTTTTCCATAAACTTTTAAACTGAGATGAACACAGCTCTAAAGACAACTACTAATAGTATTGTTTACCTATTCCAATTTATAGTGTAACCAGGAAGAATGACAGACTTTCATATTAAAGAAATAAGATTATAGAATTTTATAGTGTATCTACAAACTTAAACAATTGTCCACAGACAGCAGTACCTCACACTCTACCTTATCTAGTACAGTAAATTTACTTTCAGAATGCCTTCTGGAACAAGTATAAAATTCTAAGAACATAAAGGACAGGGCATCCTTGATATAAATTATACTATGTACATTAAAAATTATGTAATCATTCATGATGCAGGGGGAAGAAAAGTTATATTTATCCAACGTTCAGAATACTGTGAGAATCTGCAAGGAATCACAATTTATTTCAAAAATTTCCAAAATGCCATATTAAAAAAAATATATAGTAGCATTAAAGTACTAATAACTGTTATATTTTGCATATTTTGAATTAATTACATTAATTATATACAAAGTTTAATAGAACTTAGATGGTCCCGTATAAAACAATCAATGGCTGAATTCTAAATAGAATATATTTAGAATTATTTAAAGGCACATACAACGGAACTTAACTAGTATGAAGAAATTTACCTGCTTAAGTCCTTCATCAGTAAGACGATCTTGGTTGCCAACATGAACTTTCTGAAGCTGAGGACATTGTGAGGCAACAGCAGACAGAGATGTATCAGACAGCTGTTTACACCTATATGCAGTATATTTTAGAAGTCCGTGACATTTAGATGCTAGCATACATACACCAGTATCTGTCACATTACGACAATCAGAAATGTTGATTTCAGTTATATTCTGGCTTCGTGATGCAATTCTTTCCAATAGTTCATCAGTGACCTATCAAATAATAGCCAATATATAACATTACACTTTTCTTTATCAAAAATTATACAAACAAAACCACATGTCAACAAATATATAATTTCTGACTTTAGAACTGACTGCTCAGTTCTAGATAGTTGGTACTTCACTATAAATTCCTCTATTATGTAGGAAAAGGCAGTTTTTAGATAAGCTGTATTTAATCCTTTTAGAGCAAGATCCTATATTATTAGTTTGCTATTCTTATTTTTGTGACATGAAGAATTAAAATGGCTATTATGTAACATTCTACTTAGAAACATTTCCAACTATCTATAATCTATGTCCAATATTCACAAACACCTCAAAAATTCTAGTTCTCAACACAGATTTCGAAGACTGAGCACTTCTGTAGACCTCCAAATCTAGTACTTGCATTAAAGTTCCAAGCAACACCCCCAACGAAATCAACTAGCTTATCTGTTAAGCCATACTGTGGTTCAGCAGATTATGTCTATAGAAAATCTTGATCGCAATACAAAATCATGCCATGGCTCTTTATGTTTTGGTTTGAACAGATTCTGATCTAACAAACACCAGAACTGCTCATTCAGCAATGACTCCATTGCTCCATTTGTTTTTCCAGTATCTTCAATCACCACCTGGAGCAATTTGGAAAACCATAATATAGAAATTATGTAATAATTGGACTGGATGCTCAATTTATAAACAATGAGTTTATATAAAAGCAGGTATTGCTGCAATCATTCCTTTATCCCCAATTCTGTACTGCTATCATACAAAAGAAACACATACACACAAATAGAAGCAACATCCAACCACAGCAAAGACCTGTGCAAAGATTACTTTGCACTATGTGCATGACATGGCTAGCTTTTCAGGAAAGGGGCAACATATTCTGTATCCAATGGAAGAGAATATACATACAGTTGCAAGAAAAAGTATGTGAACCCCTTGGAATTACGTGGAGTTTTGCATGAATTGGTCATAAAATGTGCTCTGAACTTCATCTAAGTCACAACAATAGAAAAAACACAGTCTGCTTAAAATAATACTACACAAACATTAGATGTTGCCATGGTTTAATTGAACATAACATGTAAACATTCACAGTGCAGGGAGGAAAAAGTACGTGAGCCCCTAGCCTAATGGCTTCTCCAAGAACTAATTGGAGCCAGGAGTGAGACAACCTTGACTCCAATCAGTGTGATGATATCGGATGTGTTGCTGACAGCTGTCCTGCCCTTTAAAAACACACACACGTTTTGGGTTTACTGGTTTCAAGAAGCACTGTCTGAAGTGAACCATGCCTCGCAGAAAAGAGCTCTCAGAAGACCTACGATCAAGAATTGTTGACTTGCATAAAGCTGGAAAGGGTTACAAAAGTATCTCCAAAAGCCTTGATGTTCATGTGTCCACGGTAAGACAGACTGTCTACAAAAGGAGAAAGTTTAGCACTGTTGCTACTCTCCCTAGGCGTGGTCGTCCTGTAAAAATGACTGCAAGAGCACAGCGCAGAATGCTTTATGAGGTAAAGAAGAATTCTAGAGTGTCAGCTAAAGACCTACAGAAATCTCTGGCACATGCTAACATTTTTGTTGACACATCTACAATAAGGAAAACATTAAACAAGAATGGAGTACATGGGAGGACACCACGGAGGAAGCCATTGCTGTCCAAAAAAAATATTGCAACACATTTGAAGTTTGCAAAAGAGCACCTGGATGTTCCACAGCAATACTGGCAAAATATACTGTGGACAGATGAAACCAAAATTGAGTTGTTTGGGAAGAACACACAACAATATGTGTGGAGAAAAAAAGGCACAGCACACCAACATCAAAACCTCATCCCCACTATAAAATATGGCGGAGGGAGCATCATGGTTTGGGGCTGCTTTGCTGCCTCGGATCCTGGACAGATTGTTGTCATAGATGGGAAAATGAATTCCAGAGTTTATCAAAACATTTTGCAGGAAAACATACGACCATCTGTCCGCCAACTGGAGCTCCGCAGAGGATGGGTGATGCAACAGGACAATGACCCAAAGCCTACAAATAATTCAACAAAAAAATGGCTTCAACAGCACAGAATACGCCTTCTGGAGTGGCCCAGTCAGAGTCCTGACCTCAACCCGATTGAAATGCTGTGGCATGACCTTAAGAGAGCGATTCACACCAGACATGCCAAGAATATTGCTACACTGAAACAGTTTTGTGAAGAGGAGTGGTCCAAAATTACTCCAGATTGTTGTGCAGGTCTGATCTGCATCTACAGGAAACGTTTGGTTGAGGTTATTGCTGCCAAAGGAGGATCAACCAGTTATTACGTCCAAAGGTTCACATACTTTTTCCTCCCTGCACTGTGAATGTTTACATGTTATGTTCAATTAAACCATGGCAACATCTAATGTTTGGGTAGTATTATTTTAAGCAGACTGTGTTTTTTCTATTGTTGTGACTTAGATGAAGTTCAGAGCACATTTTATGACCAATTCATGCAAAACTCCACGTAATCCCAAGGGGTTCACATACTTTTTTTTGCAACTGCAGCTCAAGGATGAACTGTGCAGTCAATGTCCTCTGAGCTTGATTGTACTTTCAGATGCTTCATTACCCAATTAATCATCACTGATATTATCTAATCAGGTAATGAAACATCTACAAGCAAACAACCAAGCTCAGAGAGTACCAAGGACTCCACATATTTTGTCTCAATAGCAAAACACTTCATGTCTCTTTGAAATTTCTGTGTGTTTCTTACTATAGCCACTTGTAAAAAATTAGTGCCTTTGAAAACCACTAAAAAGATTCTGGCACTGATGGAATATTGCTAAGAATGACGAAAGTCTCCTCTCAATCTTTTCCAGCAACATGCACCTCCAGTTCTTGTGTTTCAGAAGGTGGCTTGTGGGAGACTCCCAACTTTCTCCAGGAAAATGTGACAAGGCTAGAAGAATGCAATTGTTATGCATGTGTAAAAACCTCTTTTAGCTTTTCCAAGTGCTACAAACCACTGATACAACATTACAAAGTCAACAAAGGAAAATAAGTGTCATATTTGTTTACTTTTAGAAGTGACAGAACTATATCGCTTGACTCACATTTTCATTCAAGCTAATCTATTTGAATTTACATACAATCCTAATGGGTGGAATGTTGCCTGAAGAGGAACATCTGAAAAATTTGCTGCTAGTGGCTCACATTCTTCTCAAAGTACATACTATAGCACATAGCATAATTATCCTGTGCTTAGTTTTACATACAAACATAACTATAAATTGTATTTGATACTCAAATTGTTTACTACCTAAGTAATTATTTGACATAACATACATTCCATATGTTCACCTTTCAAGCATCACTTTTTATCTGAAGAAAAAGCATTTATATTTTAATATTGCCTACTCCATACCTGCTGACGACTACTGAGGTCCAATTGTTTCCAAAACTGGAAATCTAAACAGAGGTCACGCCAGTATTTACAAACCAATGATGCTGAAAGACATCGCTCATTCAAAGATAAATTGGAAAATATCTATGAAAATAAAAAGAGAAGTCATATGCCTTCAAAGTTCATTTTAACAACATGCCAATGGTAGTATTTTAACAGTTCTCCAATGCAAGCATCATCTTTTTCAAAGAAAATGTAATCCTAGCTGTACAACTTTCATAGTTACTCATAATATGCAACATCCACTCCAATGGTTGCTATGCTGGCTATGAAAAATCATTAAAAATTAAAACTTGCACACATTCAATGTTTATTAGACCATCAATTTTTTTTATAATAGTTGCAAGCTTCTGTCTTTAAGCCATTAGACTAAATTTAGTAAAAAAAGGGGGGAGGGGGGTTGAGGATTATAGATACAAATTGTATCTGTAGCAATTACATTATTAAATGGATTGAGAAAGTTTCTTTGCAGTGCACGATAATCTGAGATGGAGTGGTACAACAGTCAGAAATTATGTTAAGTTACAGTAGGATTTGTCTATCAGAATGCTGGAACAAATTTACAAGCATTTGATTTGGTTTCTCCCCCATTTTTGTAAATACAGATTCCACACCATTTCTATAAAGAGCCAAGATACACAGCCTTGCTGGAAAAGAGGACAAAAATTAATGGAAAATGTCTACATTTACAAAGCCTAATAGATAATGCATTGTTTGAGCTTCAGATGAATAAAAAATGGGTACAAACACCTAGTGTTGAAACAACATAGTAGACTTAAATACAGGTAGTCCTTGACTTATGAATACAATTGAGCCCAAAATTTCTGTTGCTGAGACATTTTTTAAGAGAATTTTGCTCCATTTCACAATCTTTCTTGCCCCAGTTATTAAGTGAATCACTGCAATTATTAAGTTATTGACACAGTTAAGTGAATCTGACTTTCCCATTGACTTTGCTTGTCAGAAGGTTGCAGAAGGTGATCACATGACTCCAGTACTCTGCAACCAACATAAATATAAATCATTGCCATGTGTCCGAATTCTGATCACATAACCTCAGGGATGCTACAATGGTCATGTGAAAAACAGTCATAAGTCATTTTCAATGCCATTGTAACTTTGAATGGTCACCAAATGGAACAGAATAGAATGACAGAGTTGGACGGAACCTTGGAGGTCTTCTAGTCCAACCCCCTGTTCAAGCAGGAAACCCTATACCATTTCAAAGAAATAGTTATCCAATCTCTCCTAAACAACTTCCAGTGTTGCAGCATTCACACCTTCTGGAGGCAAGTTGTTCCACTGATTAATTGTTCTGTCAGAAAATTTCTCCTTAGTTCTAGGTTGCTTCTCTCCTTGATTAGTTTCTATTCATTGCTTCTTGTCCTGCCTTCAGGTGCTTTGGAGAATAATTTGACTCTCTCTTCTTTGCAGCAACCCCTGAGATATTGGAACACTGCTATCATGTCATCCCCTAGTCTTCCTTTTCATTAAACTAGACATACCCAATTCCAGCAACCGTTCTTTATATGTTTTAGTGTCCAGTCCCTTAATCATCTTTGTTGCTCATTTCTGCAATCTGTCTAGAGCAGGGGTGTCAAACTCGCAGACAGCGGGCCAGATACATCATGTGCTACTCACGCCCACCCCCATTTTAGCAAAGGGGGGAAAAGTTGTGATACGTCACGTGACGACTTCATGTGATCTTGATTCTATCCCTCTGTTAATGCAGCCTAGAACTGTGTTGGCTTTTTTGGCAGCTGTTGAAAGTCAGTCCTAAATGAACTGTTGTAAGTCAAGGACTACTTGTAGTACAGTTCAAAGCAAAGCCAATGTCTTTATTTTCTGCCATCGTTAAAGGATAATGTAGTGCTATCTAAATAAAAAAAGTAAAAATAAACTGTCAGTGAAGAAATCTTTAGAATGTGCAATTTATTACTTTGGTAGCCTACTTCTTGGAATATTGTTTTAACTATTTCACTGCAATTTACCCACAGTAATAAGCATTTAACTTGAAGTAACTTGAATATATGACATTTGTTAGGTACATTTGGTTAATAACTGTTAATAACAAGTTGCTGTTTTAAAAGATTGGAAGGCATACTTCTATTAAGTAAGTTATCATAAATTCTGTCATTATAGATAACAGTTACAAGTTTAGGCAGAATTCTTTGTAGGGCTTTTTCATTTAAGGGCTTTTGTTCATCTATTTCAAGAAGAACTGAAGTAACTGCAATAGTGTGGGATAAAGAAACAAATAAAGCAGTTTTATAAAATATCAAAAATTTGGTACTGACCACGTAAGGGTCTTTAGATTGGATCTTTACAATACTCCCTGGTTTCCATGTAAAGAGAGATGTATGTCATTTTGGTATACAGTCTTCCTGAATGCCACATATGCATTTTACATAATACTTTATCCTGCTTGAGTCTTCTCAGACTATTCTCAGGGTACAATAGCAGAGAGCCAAAATAAAATCATCTAAAACTTTCAAATATATATTATAAATGCCAAAAAATAGGCTTATGTTTTGGTAAATGATATCTGCGAATCATTTGGTATTAAAGTCCTGGTATTAAACTATCAAGTTAAAATTAAAAAGAAGCAAAATAAAACCCTGCAATGTAAAAAGCAAGTAAGCAGCTTTCAATTTCAGAGTTACTTCTTCCTGCAATTCCGGTATAACAGAAATAAAAGCTGCAATTATCAAAGCTACGACAAATAATTCACTTTAAATATCACTTGCTCATATGGAATACATTTATTTATTTACTGAAAGATATTTTTGTTTATAAATAGAGCAGGAAGAAGAATTTTCCACATCAAGCTGAACAGTTCTGAATTACTGAATATTACCTTATGAAAATATAAAAATTAGCTCTCCTAAAAGCATTCATCATCCTCTCAAGTCAGGGATTCAACTTCAGTTAAGACTCCTTGTCAGCACTGCTTTCAATAAACCTGTAGCTCAGTGCTTTAAATGGATTAGAAAATGGGACAGACCTCAACACAAAGTCTTTATCTCCATTTCTATGGCAAAGTAGCGCAGCAAAAGCAATCTAATGACAGGTTTGCAACCCTGCAGTGGGATTCCAGGCACTGCTGTGGATTGTTTTCAACACATGACTGAACCCAGAATGAGAAACAGGTAGGTGCAAAGTAGCCAAAGCAGAATGCAACACACAGGTTTCTAACAAAACCCTGAAGAGCAGTTCTTGAACATCAGGAGGAAGGAAGAAAACTTAAATGATAGCTTTTTTAAAAAAGAAAAAAAAAAGATAATCACAGCACCCCTTGGAAGTCTGTGTATCATAGCACCACCCTTGACAGTCCATGCCCACCAAACCCACTTCTTAGATACAACACAGGTATCTAAGGTATCTATGAAGAGCAGTTCTTGAAGATCAGGAGAAACGAAGAAAACTTATTCTTTTTTTAAAAGGAAAAAACAACAACAAGATAACCACAGCATACCTTGGAAGTCTGTATATCATATGTGACAGCACCACCCTTGACAGTCCATGCCCATCAAACCCACCTTGAGAAGGATGGAGGGAGGCAGCTGGTTAATATCCGGCAGGGGTGGCTGCGAGTCTTGGCAACAGTCCTCCGGGTTTTCGGGGGGTTCTTCACAGTAAGGTTCGCCCGGCTCGGGCCTCTCTCTCCCATCGAGCTCCGGCAGGTGCGAAGGAGAGCTACTCGGGATTATCTCCTTCCCATCCTCGGCGACGGAGTCTTTAGGCGAAGCTTCCCTGGCACAGTCTACGGTGCGGGGCAGAGGGCAGAGGTGCTGCTCGGGCAAGAGCACCTGTTGGCATTCGGCGGGGTCGGTTGAGGGCGGCGAAGGGGCGCCGGTGCCCGCCGCATTTCCCCGGAGGATGGCGCAACGGGGCTGTTTCCGCGGCGGATAGGCGCGCAGCCCGATCCCTTTGCGCTTGCACACCATCTCCACGGGAGCCTCGCTGCTCTCCAGCGCAGACCCGAAGAAGCCCCGGCGCGCTGGCGGCGGCGGCGGCGGCGGCGGCGGCGAAATGAGCAGGCTGGAGAAGAGGAAGCGACGGCAGCGGCGACCTCGCTCTCTCCAAACCGACGCGGGAGGCCAGCGCAGGAGGCGTCGAGCGTGGCGGTCGCCGGGGGGCTTCGCAGCCGTGCAGAGGAAGGCAGGCGACGGCGGCTCCTTCGCGGCGGGTGGGCTGGCACTGTGGACCAGGAAACACAGCATGCAGGGTCCCCGGAGGAAGCAGGTCCGGGTCCGTGGCGGCGGAGGGACCTTCCCCCTCAGGGGGGCGCGGAGGTGTTTTTTCTCCGCCTTCTGACTCGTGCCTTCCCTCGAAATAATATGGCCCATATAGGAAGCCGAGCCACCCCGCCACCCTGCTCGGCCAGGGCCTTTTCTAAGCGGCGTCAGCGCAGCTCAGCGAGTCTCACGACATGGCTCCCAGCGCTTGTTCCTTTACTCTCGCCGGGGCCGGCAAACACAACGCCTCAGCTTCCGGGACATGGAAGGAAATGGCTAAGACTTCCGCCTCCCTGATCCGCCCCAAATTAGCGTTCTAAATATAACCACAACAAACCAGGGACTCCATGGAAGCCCTCACTTCCGGTTCCGCTTAGAATCTTCCCACGTGATGGAGGCACGTGCTGAAGTTTAAATGTTAAACGCCAAAATCACCGGCCCGGCGGGGGGCGGGGGGCCTGAGTCATTCTTAAGGCTCTGCCCTCGCCCAAGTCGAATTAAATCGAATTAAGTGTTTTTAAAAAGAAAGGGAAGGCGGCAATATTTTAATTATTCTTTTAAAAGAGACTTCAGTGCGTTGCAGAATGGATGCCCAGTTATTTTTTTCATGGAAAGGCATTGTTTTCTTCTCAGCTCGGCCGCGCACACAGAGGCTATTACAATCTAGAAATGGGTATTTTGGAACAGAACATTAGGATGTATTTTATATTTTCAATTTTTTTTTGTATTTTCATTGACAGAACAAGGAAGCGGTGACAAGATGCGACAGTGTCTTCCTTTGTTAATTTCGCCTCTCTCCCAATCCAAGGGAGATAAAGATCGTTATTTCTTTCAAAAAAGGTATCCTACCTTAGTAGCTACAAAATATGCGCTCTCTGGAAATGGCAACATTTTCTCAGCCCTCATAATTATTTCTGTAATGCTTTTGAATGTAACTGACATTCTTTTTTTTTCCGTCTTGGATTTAATTCTAGAAAGGTTATTGTTTGCATATCAGCATTCAAAGAAATACCAGTGATTTGTTCCTTGTAATCAGGAAAGCACTGTTAATTAAATTTTAAATGTTTTCAGTCAGCTATAAAAACTGAATTCCAAGATACTCAAATGTAAAAACTAATATTTGTTCAGAGTCCTCCAGTCCTTGAGATATTTTAACAGTGATGATTAGATCTTGGTGAGGCTACTACAAAAATACTGCATGAACTTTATTTTTAAAAAATAGCACTTTTCAAATACTGTTATTGGTAAATGAAAAAAGTTTTAAAATGCAATATATCTCTTTGATAAATGGAATAAAAACAAAGTTTGGAAAAGGAACATGTAACCATACAAGAAACAGAAACTAATGCAATAAAATACATTGGGATTCTAATACTAGTTAAATTCACATCATCATCATTCTAGACATGGTCTATCCACTGCAGGATGAAGGCCTCTTCCACATATTTCCAACCAATATGGTCTTGAGCTTTTCTTTAGCAGTTGAGTCTGCAATATTTGCTGATGTCATCACTCAATCTTGCTATATGTCTGTTTTGTGGACGCTTGTTTTCAAGTAGAATCCATTCTATGACTGCCTTAGTCAGTTACCATCAGTTGTTCTTGGTTTGTGACCAGCCCATTTCCATTTTAATTCTTTTACTCTTGATGGCATCATATATTTTTGTTTGTTCTCTAATCCGTGTGCAGGTCTTTCCATCTTGTCCTATGATGTGAGGTATGTACCTTGCCATGGCTCTTTGAGCCACTTGTAGCTTTTGTATTAATTGTGAGGTTAGTGCCCATGTTTCACTGGCATAGGTTAGAACAGGTAGCACACACTGATTGAAAACTTTTCTCTTTAGGCATGGGGAGGTTGTTTTTGAAAATTATGCTTAACTTGCCAAATGCCTGCCAATCACATTTAACACGCTGTTCAATTTCCTTTTTTGTATCACCTTCCATTGAGATCCATTGGCCAAGGTATATATGGTGTCTACTACATCTAAATTCACATGTAGCCAAACCATAAACTGGTCATAATTGACCCCAGATTATTTTTTCCCACCTCCACACAACACTTTTATGTTATAATTTATTTATTTAAACAAATTTATATGGCCACCCAGCTCACTCTCAATGAGCCTGTGTGGCTTACAACAATAAAATCAAATTATAAAAACAAAAACACCCTGCCCTGGCCTGGCAACAACAGACAAGCCATTTGATGGGCTACATCCCGTTCTAGGGTCCCCAGGCTTATTGACAAAACCAGTTCTTCGGGGCCTTGTGAAAAATTTGTCAAAGTGGGGACCAATCTTACCTCTCTGTGGATTATGTTCTGCATGGAGGGAGCTACCATGCAGAAGGCCAATTCATCCAGATGAAAGGTGGCAATTCTCCATAGATCAAAGAACTCCAAATCCAGAGCCATTCCATCTTGTCAGGGTTCAGTTTCAGCCAGTTGTTCCCCAGTGCAGCCCTTAATCGTCTTTAAGCACTGTATTTTCTCACTTCTTTCTGATAAATTTGATTTTACCCTTATACTTAAAAGGGTAGACTTTTCCCATTTGATATGCAGATTCCTTTAGAGGGGAATATCATAATATCACTTTAAATAATAGGAAGTAGATTTGTAGACTTTATATCATGGATTATAAATTCTATATCCAAGTCATCTTGGACAATGGCCGTAGATATTTCAAAATTCCTGCATTTTATGTTTATGAAATGAAAAATACAGTATATATTTGAGAATAATTCTTCACCAATTCCACCATCATAATTTGTCGTGATCTGAAAATTATTTTAAGGAACGGAGACTTTTAAATTACTGCACATTTCTTATTTTCAAGATCTATCTATACATTGAAGATGGGCAAGACTACTGTGGTTCTAATGTGGGAATCAGAAGCTAAGTACAGCCTTGTCCCTAGTGTGTATATATTGTATATTGGTCAGTTCTTTTAATATTCTGAGATTAAATACCTGAGAGTAGAGCTATTAACTCAAATGTCCGAGTTCAACTTTATGGGATTTTTTTTAATGTTCCATTTTGGTTGTCTCTTTCAGGTGACAATATCTTTTTCTACCAGGAAAAAGGAAATGTTAAGATTTTTACAATTTGCAGGATTTTTTTACAATTTGTATAATCACTATCCTTTTATTCCTAGCCCCTTTAATGACCATATTCTTATTTTAAAAAAATTCATGAATTAAAATCATTGTTCGCTTACCTGCCTCCTTGTAGTAAAATATACTATTGATCTGTTTATTTTTATTTATTTTTTTCTAATGGGTCAACATGATATCCTGCACTTCTGGTAAAATTGGGAAGGTCAGCTACAGAATACAAAATCACAAATTGGAATTTATTTGCTTTGTCACTAGATGGTAGCATTGTTTCAGGTAAACTGAAAGCTGTGTTGGGAATTTTAACAATTTTTTTTTAATCCATTGCTGAGAGAAATTTAATTTTGTTATTGCTTTGAGTAGCAAATTGAATTTCTGCATAACTAATAATGGATTGGAACACTCAAATCAACTAATAGTATTAAGCTATTTAAAAATTCATTCTGTTCTGTAAATAACAGACATTAATTATTCCTTACAATCCAGGCAGAACACATTTATTTCTTTATGGATATTTAGTCATTTGTGAGAAAAATCAATTGAAGAGCAAATCAGATTCTGAAGCAGTGGCAGTGATGATAAGAAGTCTTCCCATGTGAAGAAGACAAGAGAAGATATCTGGGGGGGGGGGTTTCCTGGCATACAGTATTCACACACAATTCTATTGTTAAGAAAGATGCTTACTTGGGCAAAGACCCTCAGATACAATTTATAGCTAGATTAGCATTATTACCAACTTCAACCCCCCAAAACTAAAAAAATGAAGTTTTGTGTATATGTTGTGACCTAGGCCCAAGTAGTTATTACCAGACACAATCAGTCCTAAACAAACATATTTTATTAGAACAGCTGAGAATTACTTCATTCTCAGCTTAGTCCAAATTAATTCCAAAACAAATTCTTCATAAACAGTCCTTCGGCCTTATCACCAACCTTTGTCTTCTTTGGCACCCTGCCAAAGGCTTTTCTTGGCAAAACCCCACAAAGTTCAGAAGCAAGAAACGCCAACAAGAAACAAAGGTAGCAACATTGCTTTCCTACAGAATCCCAAGAGCCATTGCTGCTCTTTTAAGCCTTCTGGGAGGGGCCAATAATCTTCTGGCCTTACTCCCGAGTCGTCCCTTTTTAGCTGCTCTTGCCTTCTGGCAGCTCTTCGCAGGCGTGCACTAGGAACAGGTTCCTCCTGTTCCTCTACCTCTCTGCTATCTGCCTCTGGAGGCTCCGAAGTCCGCGCATTGGTCCCAGATGGCCCTGGTCCCATCTCTGCCTCTGACACAGAGCCCTCGTCTGGGCCTTCCCCTGACTCCAGAACTGGCCCATGGTTCTCCCCAGCCTCCTCACTGTCTGACTCCGCTGCCAGCTCTGCAGGTTGCTGGCGGATCACAACAGCATATAGAAGATTTGTCCAATGCAGTACATAAAAATCAAGATTGATGTGTCCCTGCTTCAGGGTTTTAATTTCTGTCTTTCCAATGCAATAGGAGCTTGGGTACCCTTGATGGTACTAGGGGCACTTCAACTATGTTAACATAGCAGTTCTCTTTAGCCTGCTTCCTACCTTGCCAGCTTGTTTCCTTAAAGAAATACCATAAGAGGTAGGAATATAACACCAGGACTAATCATATACCATACGGGCTCCTAAGCAATATATTTATTTGCAGTTGGAGACAAGAACCACAATAGAATACACACCAAATGATGTATTAAGAAACAGCAAGAGTAATCAAAATGTATACTTCACAAAGTGAACTTCTCACATTTACTACCTATGTTATGCCAAGTGGTATGGAACAAGTTTGGATGCTTGAGGCACCAGGTTTGAGCAAGACTTATCTGCAAAGTTAAAGATTCTCCTGAGGGAAGCCTACTTCTTGTTTGCTCTGCCTAGAAGGAACTGTACTGAGAGTTGATCTTTAAAGAAGTAATAGAAATAATAAAGAAGATGGCCAAAAACCTTTTATATGCAGGAGCATTTTTGGAATAAATTATTGTCCAAAGTTAAGAAGATTCCTTTTCTGGAACAAGAGGTTTGCATCGGGTAGGTTCTACCTACCTTTACTACCAGTTTGCAACGGGGCCATGCATGCACAGAAGCATTTTGATGACGTCGGGGTCAGTGGGCGCAGTGTAGAGAAGTAAGGGGATGACTATTACAGAAATATGCAAGAACCATTATGTAGGCAAAGAAAATTTAACTACACTAAGTGCTAGAAATTAAGATAATATTCAAAAGCGGCTCAAG